GTTGCCAAAAGATTGGAATTGGGAAATCTATCTTGATGCTTGAGAAATTGGTGTTGTCTGTGTGAATTGTAGTAAGCCTTTGCTTCTGCTTCCTTTGCATCGGTTGCCAAGCTGCCTCGGGACCAGGCTACAACTTGTCCATTGAGATCATATAGAATCCATGCATACTTGGTGGTGACGCGACCAGTTTGTTTGTTGAATTAGCTCTTGCGTCTTTTGTTCAGTTCCTGCTTCAAAATCAATTTTTGTTGCGGTCTCCAGAACGTTCTCCGGTTGGTTTGCTTCCTCCGATGCAACAACACGACTGAGTAATGACATTCAGGATGCTATTTCGTGTCGGATAGTTGTCGTTTCGGTTCCTCCGTTCGTTGTTCTATCAGACCGCTATTGATTCATTTGTTGAAGAAGATTTTATAACCACACCATACCTGACTATATTTTGGCCAGACCCTCTTATGAATACAAAAGTAATGACAACGTTTATATTTATTTATCGACATTACAAGTTAGGAGACGGGGGTAAAAACCAACAATACCCACACCCCCAAAATAAACCATCCGGACAAAAGAGAGAAAAAAACACTAAACCATCATGAACCAAACCAGAATTGCATACCGGAAAATGATCAGTTACGAAGTTTATATTAGTGTTGTGTCCTAAGTAGCAACTTCCCTTTGTTCTAGTCTCTCAAGTTCTCCCTGGTGCCATCGGTCCAGAAGGCCTCGTGACACCAGGAGGAGGAGCTACCGGAAGGTTTTGGCTTACTAAAACTGTCTCGGGTCTCAAGCCAGCAGTTGGGAAAGGCGGCTGAGCCTGAGACGTTTGAACTGGTGATGTCTCAACTGGTTGAGATTCAGGAAGCCTAGTTTGAGACTGTTGGGTAGGTCGGATGATCATGTGGTCAAGAGCAGGGGAATATGAACCGGGTGTAATACTGCCTCGCATCCTTGGGCGCCAATTGGTTGTATCAGGGGTAGTCGAATCTACATCCATTAGGTCACTGGTTCGAGAAACGGATTGAACAGTGGGACCACTTGGGTGCTGCCTTTGAGTGCTTACACTGTTGCTGGTCAAGTCTTTGGTTAGAGAAACGGATTGAACGGTGGGACCACTTGTGTGCTGCCTTTGAGTGCTTACATGGTTGCTGGTTAGTTCAATGGTTCGAGAAACCGATTGAACAGTGGGACCAGTAGGGTGCTGCCTTTGAGTGCTTCCATAGTTGCAGGTTAGGTCACTGGTTCGGGAAACGGATTCAACAGTGGGACTACTTGGACGCTGCCTTACATGGTTACTGTTTAAACTTCGGATGAAATAACTGTTAGGCTGGCTATTTAGTACTCTAGGGATAGGCGGAGACTGAACAAAAGACGATACATTTGCAGGAGACTGGCTCGTAACTGGAACTGGGATCCTCCGGTTCTGCAAGGAACACATATCATCAACATATGAATCCTTAACAGAAGAAACCATTTTCTCAATCAGAAACACAAACCTGTGACGAAGTTGTCAGTGATGGAACTTGAGATGAATAAGTTTGGTTCAATCTCGGACTAGGGGTTCTTCTATCTCTTGGAGATGGTGTTTGTGAGTATGACGCAGGTACTGGTGTTGGATCTTGAGGCATTGGTATTTGGGGTAAGTTTGAGTATTCTTGCCCTGTTCCAGTATTCAAGTGATCCAGTATCACCTGATCGAGTGATATAACATCAGAGAGATTAAACAAAGACAGGTAATCATCGCCTGAAGTATCTTTGCTTGCGTTATTATTAGATTGACCCTGAGCATCTGAAAAGAAGGGCTTCCGGTCCACAACCTTGCCGTCACCAAATATTTCCATTTCAGCATCATCATCATCTCCAGTCAGATCCAAAACAACTGGACCAGAGCTTAAGAAGGTAACCGGGTCTTCAAGATCATGAATGGTTACATCATGCACAGGTTCCTCGGTCCTGTCAATTTCCTTTGCAACCTTCCATGTGCCATCAGCATGGATGATTACATCAGCAGCGTTGTGTCCCGATTCTTTTAATATCTGAGGATAATGATAAGATACGAGTTATCTATATTAAGATGCACTGCAAAAAGGTAGCGGTAAGCAAATGTCGAGATAGATAGTTACTTGCCTTGACCATGTTTTGATCTAAACGGATCTCTGGGTAGCAAACAGGTTGATTGCAATGGGGGCAGCGCCAGGATGGGTTTCTCATATTTATGTGGAAATAATTCCAGAAATCAAAACACTGCAGCAGCAAGTAACTATATCACTAACAAGTATTAAGAGAGAAAAAAAAGATAGAATCCACAGTGATTCTCAAAACACTGTATCCCGATTTAAAAGGAAGGAAAAACAGAGAGCATGATATTTGGTTGCATCACCTGAAGATGTTTGCACAACTGGCCCTTGACTGGAAGCTTGATCCGGCTGCGACTGTTTTAATGGAGACTAAATCAACGACCAAAGACGATAATAACGTAACACAGTAGTAGATAGAAAGCAGAAGTGGTACCTTATAGGACAACTGAGAGATACCCGTGATGGCCCCTCGATGATATCAGAATCTACAAACAGAAAATAAATAAAAAAGTACAGAGCAATTAGTTTGAAAATATTTCTTCACAGTTATGTGGGTTGCAAGTCATTGAATGATTCAAAAATGGAAAAGTATAGAGCATTAATGATAAATTTCCTCTCCTCTATCTTATGCTCTTAGATTACCTGGACTTGACTCGATGAATCCCGACTGAAGGTAATCTTTAAGCACTGGTTTTTCAGGTGGCATGACCAATCCCGTAAAAGCAATCACGATAACGTAATGACCTTTGAACAATCAAGCACCAAGAATTGGAAAACATGTAGAGAAGAAAAAAAGGTG